GATTCCCATAAATGGCACTTTAAAACTACAAAAATGTTTTTCAAGACCAGTACTCTGTGACAAAAATGATTGGCTAATCCTCGCCAAGAAGGATTCTGTATCCCTTCCCCAAGAGGTGGACCCAGGACTTTTCTTTAAGCAGAGATCAAAACATACGTTTAAATTATTCATTTAGGTAGAAATGTTATAGGTACTTTTTAGTGTCCTTAAATAACAGTTGTTGCAATTTTTGTACATTCCTTAAAGTCCAATCATTAATTGGAGAGCTCAAACAAGCAATGGCATTTTTTTAAAGTCAAAACAAACATTCAATCTTGGGTGTAGGTAAGTAATAAAGTTCTTGTGTATTGCTTTAATATCTATTCAAAAGGGTTTTCAAGCAGTAGAGTGCAATTACAGGACTAAATATTACATGTATGCAAAAATAAATGGAAAAAATCTTGGAAATTCAAGTTTGCTTGTTTAAAAATTTTCAACAAACATGAACACGTCATTGCAAAGTATCCTATTGCTTTACAGCAAAGAACCAATAATAATGGTAGTGTACAAAATAATAATAATAATAAACAATAATAATAATAATAATAATCATCATAATAATAAAATAGTGTAATTAAACATTAATGTATTTGGAAGTACACTTTCAAAATGCACACCAACCAAAAAAAAGATCAAATCAAATCTTCAAAAGTTTTATTTTACAAAACCAACTCTTGCAAGTGAAACTTATAAAAACCAAACAATGCATAACATTATATCTTGTACTTTTACTTTTGAAATTATTCTATCAGGAAGAAATTCAAATTATGTAGTACAGTAGTAAATATTTTATTACTTTCAATCCTCCCATTGAAATCAAGTTCAGTTTATTCACATAATGCATCACCAGGAATTACAATGAATAAAATTGATTATATTAATTGGAATGCAAATATGTCTGGAGAAAGCCAGATAAGCCCAGGAGGGCTTTAAGCCTAGTTCCACCAGTAAAAATTTGAAAATTAAAAGTTTTGATAATAAAGTGAATGCTGTTAAGTACACACACAAAACACACAAGAATACAAGAACAGAGTACAACATTATATTCTTAATGGGACAAGGACAGTACAGTATAGTAACACATACACAAAGAAACAAGGGTAACAGTATTGGATTTTGTAATTAAGCTGACGAGTTTAGGCTATAACTAAGAGAATAATTATGATTAAGGATATTAAGAGTGTTTATATTTAGATATAAGGTGTGATTTGTAATTGTATTTAAAACAATTTATGGTCTTGTGACTTAAGATGGATGTGTCAAGTGAGTTCCAGAGCAGAGGACATTATTAAATTATTATTGTGCATTATTAAATTTCGAGTCAAGGTTCTATTGTAGTTTTTTATAACATACTTGTTTGCGTTATTAGTATCATAGTTGTGTAGTTTATTATTTTTTGCAAAGTATCCTTTAAAAGTATTTGGGAGTTTATTGTTTGTATATCAATACATGAAAATGGCAGATTGCAATTTATTTATGTCAAAAATGTTTAAGGTGTTAAATATATAAAAAAAGAGGTTTGAATAGGAAAGGTAATTTTAAAAAAGAGCAAATACGAAGAACCCTTTCTTGAAGTTTAAATAATTGATCAAGTTTAGTTGTTTCAGTGCTTGGTGTTTTGCATCAGTGGCTGCCCATGCAATAAATCATGCTTGCTGCTTTCTCAGAACTGAACACAAATTATTTGTTATGAATTTTATTAGAATGAACCACGTTTGCTTGCGGACTACATTCACATTTGTCTAATTGTGAATGTGGTGAGGGCTTTGTAAGTGAATAGTCCATTAAACATCTGACTACAAAAGTACTGCCTTAGTTTTAGTTGGAATTTAATAGTTCTATGACAAATATTTTTGCAAACTTTCAAATATAATAAACATAATTTAACACAGATAAAAATTTATTAATAAAAAAATGACCAAAAACAATTTTTTTAAAACATACTTAAAAATTGAAAATTATATAATAAAAACCCAAAATAAAAGATGAGAAGTGAATACTATATAATAACTAACCATTTTTTACTTTTCTTTCCCAAGTCACCATTTTCATCTACAATCATGAAAGCAAATAGAGATAACAAAATTAGTTAAGAAATAATCTCATGTTATGACCACTTCAGATAGAAAACCTATTTACAGATAACACCAAAACATTTCACTTTATTTTATTGACCATCAAAATACATATACAGAAAAGATATAATGAATAATTCTATCAGGTGATTGGCAGGTGAAGAAATTACTATGGCTCACAAAGTTACTATAGCCAATCAACGTAAAGTAACTTACATTTTCCAAAGTATTCAATACAACAAATTCCACAAAAGTAGAAACAGCAACGGAGAATATACTTGAAGAAAAATGTAGTATTACTGCAGAGCTTGGGAGGTGAACCAGGTTTTCCCTGTGTTTTCCATTCCTCCTTGTTTTTCTCTTCATTTTTTACTGCTAAGTCCCACTGGAAAGTGTTAAAGTGGGCGATACTAGGACGATATTTTTTTCTCATTGCAAGTGATACGTTGCCTTCTACTGCTGTCATATCTTCACCTTTCATCTCAATTTTCCTGCAAAATATAAAGTCTGCAAAAAACAATTTAGTTAAAAAAAATTGTGAATACTCATCTAAATAACAAACTTAATTCTGATTTAGAGTTAACAGAATTACAAACTAAAATGTCAAAAAGTATGTAATATTCAACAAATAATTGAAACACTTTTTTAATAATTGTATATTTCAGTTTAGATTATGTAATATTTGGATTTATATAATGCATTATATTGAAATCTCGAAAGTGTTCAAGGTGTGGACTAGCTCATATAGTAACTTGTTTCCAAACTAAGGGTATTTCCCTGTACCCAGTAAACAGATACAAGTTAATCACATCTGTCATCAACAGGAGCTGTATAGACCAGTACAAAAGAAATTGTGAAAGATGTACTGGCTTCTTTAAATAAAGTGCACATGAGCTAAGTTGTGTACACTGGGCCTACAGTTAATATCCCTTAACCGAGAAGACTTTTCACCACCAGAACCAATAGGAAGTGTGCCGTTTAAACTAGGTCAATATTATGGCTGTACGTAGCCTGGGTTCCAGGCCCTAATTGTAGGTTACTCACTCTTTATTGCACTTAGTGCGCGCCATACCTAATTTAATTGGCGTCCCATACTCAATTTCTTTTTTTTGCGAATTAGGGCCTGGGCAAACGATTCATGCGTACGATTTCCCACATCAAATTTGATGTGGGATATCGTATGCATGACTGATTTTGTAAATCACGTGACTGGCTAACTTCATGCATATTAATCAATCTTGGTAAACTTTCAAAATTGAAGATGCGGATGTCTCGACTAGAACAAGAACTAGCTCCCTTCTGGCTACCTATACTTGAATTAAAACAGTTAGTATAGTTCTGGCCTGCTGAGAACGACATGGACTGATAATCGTAGGCTATAGGAACCTTGCTCACCGCTAGCTACTACACAGATTTAGGTCTTTAGGGTAGAATATTGTTAAAAAGGTATGCCTCGTAAGAACTTAAAAATACGCCAAGTCTCTACTAGTCTAGGCTAGGCCTACTCCTGACTCCAGACGAGGCCTGATCCATCCTCCTGGAAAGTTTTGTTGTATTTGTATGGTATGCCATCTAGTCTAAGCTTAATTGTTTTTGCCATTGCCAAAATTAGTCTTACTAGGGTCTATTCTAAATATTTTAAGGCCCGTTTTATTAGGGAGGACTATTTAAATTTAGTCATGCCTAACTAGTCGACGCGAGTGACTCAGTGTCGTGGCTCCAAAAATATGAACATTTGATTGAGTGAAATTGTTTATTTCGGTTCGCCCATTTATCCAAATACGGACTATAAGATTACGTCATTCTTTTGGCATCCAGGTGCCTGCATTCAGTGTTTTACAAGTCGCTTATTCCGTCTATCTCTAAATTAACTTTCTCGTTGGTGGCGCTGTCCAGAATGAGAAAAATAATAAAAAATAAGAGACTTGTGGCAAGTCTAGGCTGTACGTTGCGGCATCCTTTCAATAAGCCATTAAGGTTCTAAGTCTCTGCCTCCACGAGAAACAGTGTACAGTATGAAATAATAGTTGTGTTATGTGTGCAAGGAATTCTAATAAGAATACTAAAAGTATGAATGCAAATAAATTCAAACTTCCACCAATAATTGTACTTCAGCATATTTTTATCTTCTTATAGAAAATTTCTACCAATCTCAGTGTGCACTAAACTACTCTTTGACTTGGACCCCATAAGAGTGGTAAGTCTAGTAAATTCTGACCTTATATTTACTGTAGGTGTATATTCAAACCTTATTTTTATAGCAAACATCATTTTTAAATAAAAATGAGGTATAAAAAGTTTTGCATTAGAAACAATTTCTGAGCAACTTACAAAGCAGAAACAGTATCCACAGTATGACAGGGATAATGAAAAGTGCATACAATGCAGAGTTTGAACCCTCTAAAAGAAAAAGATGATATACAACACATTTAAATTTAAATATACAGTATCTCAATTACTAGAATTATTGTTTCAACACATTTTTTTACTTAATTTACAGTACTTACTTATCAACAATATTTCTGTGATATTTAGATCTAAAAACAATTCCAATATTAGAAATTAAAGGCATAACAACAATAGGCGTATACTGTAGCATTAGGAAAGATGATCCATTAGATCACTGTTAATTAATTCAAAAGTTTTCATAAAGACTATTTATACAAAAACAGAAATATGCATTATTAGACTACTAATTAGTAACACACACACACCAACATATCCTACAAACTTTGTTTTGTTGTGAATATTGGATTATTGTGTTTTTAGAATACGATTGATATACAACCATGAAAAAGATAATATAAGCATGTGAATAAACTATGTTAATGATGATCATCATAAAACAAATTATGAATGTTTTTGGGATTCAATAAGATGTTTGTTCATACTTATGTTATGTTATGTTATGTTTATGTTCATTCACATTAATCTGAGTAAAGAAACTAGGCCTATTAGCCTTAGGGTGGTATAGTATTTAAAGAGTGTACGTCAAATCATTAGAAAGAGTCTATAAATTATGGCTTAGCTTCTATAGCTCATAGCGTGAATAAGACTGCTGTATGCCCCTATAAACATGATGTACCTAAATATGTTACCATATTCATGCATGTCACATGTTTTTGTGAAATAAAATATGATAGTCTTGACAGAGCTTTAGAGTTAGAATGACGAAACCACCACATGTTTGGCATTAAAAATACTGCCTAATAGGCAGCTATGGATGAGGTGTGGTGAATGTAGGTAAGAATGGCCCTGGAAAAAATGGCCCTAGAAAAAATTGCCCCGGAAAAAATGGCCCCGGTAAAAATGGCCCCATATGACAGGTAGGTAAAAATGGCCCCAATGAAAAATTTGGTAATAGAAAGGATATATTTTTTTAAAATCTTCAAATATTTAAATACTGTATAAGCAAGAATTGAATCAAGAAATAAAAAATGGCCCTCAATTATAAAATTAAAGAAAAAAAAATTAATAATAAATAAATAAATGCTGTAAAATACCCTGTAGCAAAAATTTAATTAATAAATCAACATAAAGAATATGCATATTTGAAAACTAAAATAAATTAGTTTTTGTTACAATACTGTAACTTACAAAGCAACTTTTAAAAAATAGTATCATTGCATGCATTAAAAAAGATGCTGTTAAATTAGTATTAGAAACTTTTTAGTAGGAATACATATATACAGTACAGTAAAATGTACAGTAGTCAGCGAGTTCGTCAAACAATGTATAAAAAAAACTCTCGCCTTGGGTAGCATCTTTTTAAAGAAAATCATTAATTTCATTAAAAAAAACACAAGTTACTGATTGATTAAATAATTCTACTTTAAATAAGAAATGATTATGCACAGTAAAACATAGGACAACATTTAAAAGATCATTATATTAGTGCTACTGAAAGTGTTAATTATTTCAAGGTTTTATCTAAGTGCAAATCCAAGTTTGATTGCTTAATTAAAGAAATACTTTGGATCAAAGAACTGAAACCTACACTTAATAAACTGATTTAGTCAAAGCCAAACTGTTTATCTAGTTAATCTGCTAAGAAGGGCTAATTATTGCTTAGCTCCACTGTGGCTCCACACACAGTAGGCCCTATTGATATGTAAATTAATTACTAACTTCCTGTCACTGCTTGGTATTTTTGTTTTTAGTTTTTTCAATTTGCTTGATCTTCAGAATGGTTCCATGATGGACCCGAAACGTCAATCTTTCTTGTCATTAAATTTTGTTTTGAGATTATGTTCTTAATTGATTTAATAAATAAAAGCCACAAATAATAATTTGATTTACTAAATTATGTAAAAATAGTTATGCTTTAACATAGATTAAAAATATGTTACGCCTTACTTATTTTTAATCTATGGTCTTTTTAATTAATTTTCTTTTTTTTATTGGAAATTACGTAGTGCAGAGTAAATTTATCAAAACCCATTAGGTTTACAGTAATATGAAAACAAAAATTAGTTTATACAGAAATAGTATCTAAAATGATCTCAATTTCCAAAGTTAAAGCAAAAGATCTAATCTAAACACACAATATTAGGCAGGATGTATTTGTTTGGAAAAGAACCCACTCTTTTGTGAAATTAAGAGGTTTATAGGTGAAAATTGTAAATTTAGAAATAAATTTTATTTTTCCCTTTGAACTGAGATCAATATGTGATTTTTTTTTTTTATTTCCTTAAAAGCATTTGTTTTTTAACAATTACAGCAGATGCCAATAATGTTCTGAGAGATAATCGAAAAACAATGGCCACTGAATAACATTTTTTGATAGTGGAAATAAAAGTTTTAAAAACGTTATTTCACTATAACAAAGTAGAGGAATGACATACAGTATACAGTACTTCAACTACCAAAATATGCAATTCATAGATAACCACAAACTTCACTTTTGTTAAATATCAAATGAATTAACTTTACATGTTATAAACGAATGTAGGTAAGAATGGCCCCGGAAAAAATGGCCCCAGAAAAAATGGCCCCGGAAAAAATGGCCCCGGTAAAAATGGCCCCATAAGACAGGTAGGTAAAAATAGCCCCAATGAAAAATTCGGTAATAGAAATGATATATTTTTCTTTTAATCTTCAAATATTTAAATACTGTATAAGCAAGAATTGAATCAAGAAATAAAAAATAGTCAGCGAGTTCGTCAAACAAGGTTTTAAAAAAGTCTCGCCTTGGGTAGCATCTTTTTAAAGAAAATAATTAATTTCATTTAAAAAAACAAAAGTTACTGATTGATTAAATAATTCTATTTTAAATAAGAAATGATTATGCGCAGTTAAGGCAACATAGAACAACATTTAAAAGATCATTATATTAGTGCTACTGAAATTGTTAATTATTTCAAGGTTTTATCTAAGTGCAAATCCGAGTTCGATTGCTTAATTAAACAAATGCTTTGGATCAAAGAACTGAAACCTACACTTAACAAACAAACTGATTCAGTCAAAGCCAAACTGTTTATCTAGTTAATCTGCTAAGAAGGGCTAATTATTGCTTAGCTCCATTGTGGCTCCACACAGTAGGC